GGGTGGGAGGGCGGGGCGGGACGCTGGCAGAGAGGAACAGGTGCACGCTACCTGGCTGTAATCAAGAGCGCCAGCACTTCTTCTCCAATGCCCTCCACATCTACCACCAGCGCCAGCTCATAGTTTTGCACAGTGTTGGAGCACAAAGTCACCTGGGAAGAAAAAGGGGACAAGTTGCTGCTTGGAACAGCCAGCTCTCTGCATGGGGGAGCCGGGAGCCGGGAGCCGGGGCGGGCGCTTGAGTCAGCACGACTTCTAAGTGTTTTGCTAGACGGCTGGTGTTTTACAGAGAACAAGTTACATTGGTGGGTCAGGCATGGTGGATGTTTTCAAACGCTGGGTTAGAAACCCAATGCTATTAGCACAATAGGCTGGCTCATTTCTGAGGTGCTTTTTTTTTTTATCGTGGGGACTTCACACCCACACAAGGGGGGGGGGAAATGACCACAGGTGGTGAGAAGTAACAAACAGACTTTCATTATTGCAGTTTAAATTGTTCTTTATGCTACAGGCAGCTATCTAAATGATAAAACCGCAATATAATTGAGTAAACAGCGCAGTGAATTTTCTATTACATGACAGGGAAGTGAAAATAATTGTGTATTCTTCAGAAACTGGCAGGGGCAGTCAGTTTTTCAAACTAGAAATCTGCCTCCTCTTTCCGTTTTCATTATTAGAGCAGAAAACAGGAAATAGGAAGGTCCAAGCCAGGTCAACCTGAGGACAGTCTACCCAGAACATCTTAGCCTATGTTTGTGTTTACTGCTGTCAAACTGTGTTCAGGCCCTCTGAAAGCCTCGTTACAACTTTTAATTGCTTCCAAATGATTGCTACTGGAAGGGATACTTGTTAGTCTGGAAAACAGCTTCTGGCATGGGCTAAGGGTTTTCTGTCTATAAATTATGTATCAGGCACTAATTAAAACCTTTTTGGTTGCAGAGGGACATGCAGATTTGAGTCCACACAGACCTTGCTGAGGTGCGGATCAGAGGGAGAGATGAAGCCAGAGAGAGTCTGCCAAATATACAGGAAAAATAAATAGAAGGGAGGAATGGACTTGGACAGAATTCGTCAGGTTTGGAGAAAAGCTGAGGATGTCCACATGCATGACTGGAACCCCTAGTTATGTGCTGGAATTGTGTGCCACAGGAAGAAAGTCAAGGGATTCCGGCAGGAGGCTGGGGGAGAGATGCTGTCTTAACACTCCTGTGCTACCTCTAGGGGCAAAAGGAAAGTCAGACTGCATGGAGGCTGAGCATCAAGTAAAAGATAAAACCTCTGCAGCTGAGCTCCTTACTAGGCAAAGCCAGTTAGAGACTGTGATGACATAGCAAACCTCCTTAGACCCCTGCAGAAGCCTACGGAAGAGCTAAAAAGTCCCAGATGAAGAGTTAAGATGAATAGATCTCAGGCAAGAGATTGCATAGCTTCTAAAACAAATTTGGAGATGGAACAGTGACTGGATTAAATAGTCGATGATAATATCTAGAGAATTAGCCGTCTTAGTTACGCAGTCTTCCTTTCCCAGAAATCATCACTTCGGTTTAGCAGCCTTCCTTTCTGCTAGATCTTGGTGTCGGAGCAGCGAAGGTGAAGGGAGGCAGCTAAAACTCTTCTCGGTTAACTGTGACCCAATCCTGCTGATGGTACCAGGAGACCATCACTGACTTCATCTCGGGAAACCAAGCCCAAGGTGAGGAGAGGGTGCTGACCACCTCTGTATCCCCTTTTCTGTGGGATCACACACAAAGCTCTAATGGGAGAAACATCGCACACACATTTGCCGGGGCCCAGATTTTTACTGCAAACCTGAATGGTCTGGCTGTCAGCTTGGCATAAATATGGTGGTTGTGGTGGTGAAGGATCTGAGTCTGAAGCTAGAGTCTGAGCTGAGTTCTTCTCTTGCATGAGTGTCAGTGGGGTGGGCTGTCTGTCTGGAGCCGTGACTGCACCAGAAAGAACTAGAAGCTGCAGTTCCTGTGAAGGGGCTGCACCTACAGCCATGTAGGAGTGTAGCTGGGCTGGGGGAACACGGTTATTCTAAAGAGACACTTGTCAGACTATTGAAAAAGTGGTTTCCAAGGAATTGGAATCCCCTTCCCATCAACTCCTGGAATCTCAAGCTGGAGAAAGCTGTTGCCTGGTGCTAGCCAGTGGAGGGCTTGCCTCCTGAAAAGGGACCTTACACAGTTCCAAAAATTGGTCAGACCACCTCACAGGAGAGACCAGAGCTGAGATTGTGTTGGTTGATGGGTGAGGCCACACCTAGACCAGAACCGCTATACTTAAATCTCATGTCAGGACCCCAAGATGACTGGGGAGCGGGTACCAAGAAATATCTTTGTTCTTCCCATGGTGGGAATTTGTCTTTCTCCTTGGCTCATTGAGGACTGGCTTGCTAGTATTAACTGGGCTCAGGCTCTTAACCCCAGCAGTTCCAGTAACATGAGCAGCGTGGATTTCTTTGCCCAGCCCTTTTGTGTTGGGTTCCTTGGTCTCAGAGACTTGTTTCCTATGGGCCCCATTTTGCACGTGATTCCCTGTTGTGGAATATTATTTTAAGATGTGTTAGATTTCTTTATGCTGTTGCATCATTTTAACTTCTTGAAGCTGTGTTATTTTGCCTGTCTAAAACACCTGATTGGTCTAATAAAGAGCTGAATGCCCAATAGTGAGGCAGGAGAAAGGAGAGGCAGAGAGAATAAATAGGAGGAGAAATCTGTGAGAAGATTGAGGAATGAGAACGGGAAGAGAGGAGGACATCAGGGACCAGCCACCCAGCTACACAGCAAGTCACGGAGTAAGAAGTAAAGAAAGGTATACAGAAATAGAGAAAGGCAAAAGGTAATTGGAATAATTTAAGAAAAGCTGGCTAGAAACAAGCCAAGCTAAGGCTGGTATTTATACGAAAAAATAAGCCTCCATTTGTGTTTATTTGGAAGCTGGGTGGCAGGCCCACAAAGAACAAGGAGCCAAAAGAGCAAAGAGTAAAGACAACCAACACCAATTCCCCTGGCACACCCAGAAAACCCTGGGTGAGGTATCAGTGGCTATCTGAGAGGGGGGTATTTGGCTGTGTGCTGAAGTCTGTGCACCTTACCTTGATGGCAGCAAACCCCTGGGCACGTATGGTGCCGCTGCTGGGAGTGATGGTGAACTCTCTGGGCTTCGTTGTGGATAGTTCGGTATTAACCCAAGACCGTCTCTTGCTGTCTGACTCCTGAGAGTAACTTGGGATGCTTTGCAGGCCATCGCCATCCCCACGGACACGCAATTTGAAGGTCATGGGGACCAAAGATGTGTTATTGAGGGAACACATCAAAGTATGGGGAAATCCTGGAAAACAAAGCATGAGATAAGAAAGACTCCCTTCTTCCAACAGCCTCCCTTGGCCAAGGAATCTCCCCTAGCAACGGGCTGGCATTGTGTATGGAGTTCATCACCATTCCTCACTACGTTCCAACTTGTCCTAAGTTTGTTCGTTCATTTGTTTATTGTGTGTGCATGTGTGTGGGTATGTGTGGCTGTCAGAAGTCAATGTTCCTCATTCACCATCCACTTTATTTCTTGATACAGAGTTTATCACCAAACCTGGAGTTTCCCGGTTTGCTCAGGGACCCTCCTGTCTCTGCTTCCCCAATGCTGGGACTATAAATATGCCCCGCTGCATCCGGAGAGTTCATGGGGTTCTGGGAGATAACTTCAGGTTCCTAGCTCTCACAGCACTTCGTCAGCTCAGCCAAGTCCCTAGACCCTCTTTAAACATCTTTTATATGTATGTACAAAATACTGGGTTTCGTTGTGACATCCTCATCTTCGCAAATGTATGCCATTCACTCTCTTTGCTCATATCCACCCCTCTTATCTCCTTAAAACAGCAATCATGTGATCAATAAATATACTTCATTCATTCATGAATTAACTAGAGAGTATTTGTCATGCATTAAGTCATGCAGGTTAAACAGTGACACAAGCCAAGCCCCTTGATTGTCACCCAGGCAGTTCCTGCTGCTAGCTGTTTTAAATTGTCTTGTAGAGTGTACTTTGCCTTTATACTCTGCATAAAAAACAGATTTTTAAAATCTAGGCTCATTCTCACTCTTGTCTGCCAATATGTGAAAGGGGAAGCCTACATGGTTTTGTCTGCTGTTTGACTTAGAACTTGCCAGGAGGTGGCAAGATTTGTACTTGTCCTTTATGAGAATCATGCTCTCAGGGCTGATGACACAGTACATCAGGAAAGATGTGATCATCTGAGTTAGAGTCAGCCGGCCACTAACCTCCCTAGAGTTCTGCTTCAGGTCACATCTGGCCCCCATTGCCTTCCCCTTGGTGAGACTCACACTCCTTTTGGAAGAGATGTGGGTCTCCTTTGCTGGGACAGCAATAAATTGACTCCTTGCTGGATTTTCTGGGTGGCTGTTATGTTGCTATCACTTTTAGAGCAATAATAACCGCAGGATAATTTACATGGTTGGTTTTTCTAGAGACGACATCTACTTTTCTACCTAAACCCACCTTCTTTTAGAAATCCTAGAGAGGCTGATGGAAAGTCACCTTCAAAAGCATGGGATTGCTATACTGGACTCCAGAGCTTCCCCAGTAACGACTCTGAAAACCCCACTTATCTGGCTGTGAATGAGGAAATGGTCTACTAATATCGGGTATTATGAAAAGTGGACTATCTAGTTACATGGTCCTTCAAATAACTGCCCAGGCCAATTCCCGTGGCTAGAAATTTTTTTACCGAATAAAACTCATTACAGCTTACTTAGGGCAGTCTTGTACTAGTGTCCTTCAGAAGGCCCAAGGAGGGGATGGTGGCTTGTTAAAGACCCAGTGAGCATTAGCAAGAATTCTATGCCTAGGTTTTTGGCTCCCCTATTCCATCTGCCGTCTGTCCTATCTACAGTTCTTCCGGAATTAAAGTAGTTTGCAGTTCTCAACATCTGTATTCTCTCTCGTTAGTGTCTGTAGCTTAGGAAAATTAACGACATGGCTGGAGAGATTGTTCAGGGAGTCATAGGGGTGCTTAAACTTCCTCCTGTGCTCAATATTGACTTGAAGGAAACCATCCTAAAAAATTTAATTCTCCTTCAACATTTACATTTAATCTAACCCAAAAAGACCCTTAAGAAGCTCGCTCTTGGGGCTAAGTCGGCTCAGCAGTTAAGACCACTGACTACCTTTGCAAAGGACCCTGGTTTGATTCCTAGCATCTAAATGGTGGTTCACAACTGTCTGGAACTCTAGTTCCAGGGGTCCTTATGCCGTCTTCTGGCCTCCAGTGGGCACTGCATACACAAGGTGTAGTTACATATATGCAGGCAAAACACTCGTGCACATAAACTAAAAATAAATAAATCCGAAAAAGGTGTCTGTTTGTCTGTTTATTGCTAAAACTGGGATCCAGGGCCTTGAACATGCTAAGCAAGAGCCCCACCACTGTGCAGGATCTTCACCCTCAAGACTTCTTGTGGAAGCTGTAGATCACAAGAGCACATGGAATCAGCAGCAGCAGATTCTTCAAAAAGATGATGTGTGGGAACATGAATTCACCAATAGACAATGGGTCCCCCAAAGAAGATGCCACATGCATGACCAACAATTGGATGACAGTGGAGAGACTTTTGGGGCCTCATGGGATATTTCAGACAAGAGGATCCAAAGCAGAGGGGGAGCATACGGGTCATTTTGCAGATGAGGTGGCACTTTGTAGTTTGTCACAGGCGGAGTTCTGGACAGGAGCTATGCAGTCTAGGAGAAGTCTATCTACTAGATCAGATAACTTTACGCAGTGTAAAGCATGCCGGGGGCTTCACACAACGTTTTCTGAATAAGTAAAATTTTCCTAACATCCAAATGTAAGCAACAGACAAACACACTATGAATAGGCTTTTCCTAAAGAACAATTTTCCCACAGTAGACAGGGTCCATTCAACACGAAGTAAGATAAACAGGAACTAGGACTAGGAAGATGCAGGGATGCAGATTTAAGTGAGCAGTTCTTATTCCGGGCTTTTCCTATTATCACCTTCTAAACAGAAGGGCAAATTAATTTCAAATCAGAGCAAATTAACCCTCTAAGTATGATTTAAATTCTCTTTCTCAAGAGGAGTTGGGAGTAGGATTTGGTTACATAGGCTTGGACATTGGAAGATCATAAATATGGTTTCCTTTTTTTATTGTTAGGGACCAAATTTTGCCTCACTGGGACACCATCCCAGCTGAAAGCAGGTCTCAAAATAAATAGTAAGTCTATCAATGCTGTGTGTCTTTGGCAAATAATTTAAAAGTCTCCAGGCTCCAGTTTTGCTTGCTGGAGACAGTGGCTGTACCTCTGTGAAGGACTGCTTGGTTCAAGCACACCTCTGCATGCCATACACTCAGCAGTGAAAAACCACAAGAAATGAGCAAGGGGAACACTGCTGCTGCTGCTGCTGTCACTTTTATCAGTGGGGAGACATATATGGGAAGAAATGTCACAGGGAAGACACTAATAGAGACAACAACATAAACAGATGGGACATCTTTCAACCTGGAGCAACTGAACCCTGGAATCAAACCACATCAAGCCCACTTAAACTCAAAAGCATCTCTCTAAGGTGGCTGCTGTGCAGGCAGACAGGCAAATCAGAATTCACATTTAGATACAGGGCAGGTCTGGGAGTTTGGTTCACTGACAGAGCACTTGCCACATGCACAAAGCCTTGGGTTTGATACCAGCACTGCAAAGAAGTAAAGCAAAATCACCAGCACCACCATCACCACCTCCTCCAAATCTGTTCAGGTAGTGAAAAGATGCCTAAGGTTGCTGTGGCCAACTCTTAATGCACAGCACCTAGTTTCTTCTTTACATATATTTTAGAAACAGTGCTGCAGAGGAAGAGATTCTCTTGATTAGCTTTTAAAACGTTAAGCAAGGAGCTTTGTAAACCTTCCATCTCCTTGGTAAGGATAAAAAAATATTCTATCCAATTTTTAAGTTTAAAATGGAAAGCTAGGACTTGGCTGAATGGCTTAGTTAGTGTGTTAGTTTGCATTTGATTGCTGTGATAAACACCATGACCAAAAGCAGCAAGGGGAGGAAAGGGTTTATTTGGCTTACACTTCCAGGTAACAGTCCATCATAGAGGGAAGTCAGGGCAGGTACTCAGTGGGAACCTACAGGTAGGCACTAAAGCGGAGACTATGGAAGGATGCTTCTTACTAGCTTCCTCTCCATGGCCCACTCAACCTGCTCTTTTATACAGCTCAGGAGCACCTGCCCAAGGATGGCATCACCAGGCCCTCTAATATCAAATTAACCAAGAAAATGCCCTTTAGGCTTGCCTACAGGCCAATTTGATGGAGGCATTTTCTCAATAGAAGTTCCCTTTTATCAGATGACCTTAGCTTGTGTCAAGGTCATTTGCTAGCACAAGGACCTGAGTTTGATCCTTGAAACTTACATAAAAAGACAAGTGTGGTGGCATGTGCTTGTAATCCCAGTGCTGGGGAGGCAGAAGGGTCCCCGGGGCTCAATGGCCAGAGAGCCTAGTCTAATTGGTGAGCTCGAGGCCAATGAAAGAGATTGTCTCAAAAGAGGTGGGTAGTGTTCATTCAAGGTTTATCCTCCAGATTCCATATGTACACACACATAAGTGTGCATGCATGTGTACACACATACACAAACACACACACACACACACACAAAAGAAAAAAGTTACTCACCATAGGAAACATCACCAAAGTGCAGAGCAGGGACATTAAAATGGAACGTAGGTCCAATGACACATCCTCTGAAAGTCAAAACACAAACGGAGAAGTAGGGATGACTCCAGCAGGCCAAGGTAATGCTCAGAACCAGGAAGAGAATACACATGAAAAAACAAACATTGGCATGCAATCAGTGACAGAGTCTAAGTGGCCATGGCATGACAGGCCATTCTAGTAGCCATTACAACCATTTTTCAGAGTGTGTGGTGTATCCCGGCAGGCACAGCACTTGTGTGCCAGGGTTTTCATAGAAGTATGGATCCTAATGACTATATAACAGTTGGGCAAGCATAGTAGTCACTTGTAATACCAGCACTTGTGAGGCAGAGACAGGGAGTCCCTGGGGTATGACGTCTAGCTAGGCTAATCAGAATTGTTGAGCTTCAGGCTCAGTGAGAGACCCCGCCTCATAAATAAAACAGAGTGATTGAGGAAGACACCTGATGTCACACTGGGCCTCCAATGGCAGGTGCACAGAAGTGTTCACACACATGAATACATACACACATCCATATTACACACCAATATTCAGAACAATCTTCAGGTCTTGAACTATAGGTTTTAGGAAATGCTAGTGTGATTCGTGTATAACATTGTTTCTATTTGTGACCATGGAAGAGGCAGCCGGATCACCAAAATAATGCACCAAAGGTGGCAAATTTGGACGAATTATACACTCTGTAAAGCAATCAGCTCATCAAGAAAGAAAAAATGGTTAAGAGCATGTACTGTTCTTGCAGAGGACTGGAATCTAGTCCCCAGCATCCACACAAGGTGGCTAACGCGCCTTTAACTCCACATCCGGGGAATTTGTTGCTTTCTTCTGACCCCTGGGCACCTGTGCTCATATCTGCACATGCCCCCCCCACCGCAATACACACAATTAAAGACAAAATAAATAGTTAAAAATAAAAAATAAAATGCATGTTGGAAATGTCCTTCGTGTGGGCTAGCTTTCATAGTGTTAGACAGTGCTATGCAGGCCCTTGGAGAAAAAAGGATGCGGGATCTTACTCAGCAGCGAACCCTGCACACTACAATCCTAACCTAACAAGCAAGACAGGTTCACTGGTATGATAGCAACATGACTGTTACTAAGGTAACCAACCTGGTTGGATTTTAGGCTAGTTCCATGGATAAAAAATTCATAACTGGTATTATAAAACTTGTTTAAAAAAATCCCCTGGTTGGAGAGGTCATTGGCCCTTAAGTGGGAACCAGCTACTGTTGTTTTACTAACTAGAGATGCTTTCAAACGACCTTCTAAATATTTATACCCATAGGTTAGTGCTGCTCCCAACCTGGTCAAAGAGAATGGACAGTCTTAAGATGCTGTGAAATCTTGGGGAGTGGATCGTCTCCTGGAGCTTCCAGAAATATTCATAGTTCTGTCATCACCTGCATCTCGGCTCAATTAAGACCAGTATTGAGGTCTAACCTACAGATCTCTAAAATAATAATATATATAGTCTTAATCTACTAAATCTGTGCCAATCTTTTCAATAGCCAAAGAAAGCCTACACGGCAGGTATTCTTGTTTACTGGCTAAACATCAATCACTGTTCTCCATAATCAACCTTTTTAAATGTCTAGAGCAAAGGTGAGGGTTGAACAGTCTGTATACTTGGCAAAGCTTTAAATGTTAGAGACACACAGATACCTGTTATGCCACATGCGACATGCTGGTGCCCTAGTAACAGCGCTGGCTGCTGGAGACATAGCTCTACTGTGCTAAGGCAGAGGAGTGACCACAGCCAAGACTCAACATGGTAAGCCGCAAATCTGTTCTCATGACCCTGTGTTAGGCTGATGATCCGAGCTGGTTTCCAGAAGCCTGTCTGGTATTCAGCAGTGCATGAGAGTATACGATTATTTTTTATCTTGATTTTATTTGGCCTAAAGCTTCTCAATAAAAAAATCTATACAGGAGGGAATTGTTTGTTGCTGTTATACGATATTGTTAGAGAATTAGCCACCTGACACACTTACATCATAAAGTCATGATTCCAGAAGTCACACATACAATTTTAGCTAAAATTTCAACAACCACACCTCCTGGTGTAGATAAAAGGCATTAGAGCAATGTATGGTAGTCATATTGGTAGATGGTTTCATCTAATATAGCTCAAACTGCAAATGAAGCCAGTGAATAATACATATTAGTGTGTGGAATAAAAATAGCTATTCTTTGCTTTTGTGACTTCTGTTTAGGTAACAAAATACCACAGTCATGGGATAATTGCTGGCAGAATTCTGTGGATGAACTTTAGATAAATAGAGAGATGGAGGAAGGTAAGGTGTTTAAAGAGAGATATTTAAATAGTGCATTCAAAGCACATGCTGAGAAGTGTCTTGAAACACATCATGAGACCTTTATAAATTATTCAAAACCGTACCACAATATTATTCCTTTTGGTTAAGTGCAACAGTGATGTAAGTTGAGAGCATCTAGAAAGTTCTGTGGGATGCTGGGGAAAGAATATGATCATGAAGTTGTTTGCTTTCATAAAATAAAATTGCTGAATACAGGCAATAGAATAGATATTAAATGGTAACTTTTGATAAATAAATTAAAATTACTAACATTTTTCTGAAAAAGTAATTGAAACCTTATTCACAAATATATATATATATATATACACATTATACACACACGTGTGCACATGGACACACACACACGTTTAGTATCATCTGCTTCATCATTCTTTTATCAAAGGCAGCCATGACTAGAGACTTCTTTTTGTTTGTTTATTTTGAATTTTACTCTTAAAGTTTTTGTTGTTCTTATTGTAATTGCTGAAAAGTAACATCCGAAGGACTCAATGAAGAGATTGGTCAAGTGGGAATTATAAAAACAGTGAAGACATTCAATTGAGCTTGTTTAGAAGTGCAAGCTTATGTTTCTTTAAGCCTCTTCTGCTCTGTGGCATGCTTGTTCCTCTCTCATTTTTCACTGAGAATGATCTTGCTATGCTGGCTCCTCATCCTCCTCCCTAGATGGGACTCACGGTTAGTGGCAAAAGTTTGCTAATCACCGAGGCTCAGTTATGTATCCTCGCTGGGCACAGTTGAAATTTGAATATTCTCTTTTGGTTGTGAAAGAGAGTGATCCAGATTTTCAGAAAATGAAGGAAAAAGAAAATATTATTTTAGGAGTATAAGCTGTATGTAAACGGTCTTTCTAGGCATGGGAATTCAGGGAAAAACAAAGTTGTTAACTTACACTCGGCAGTCATTCGTTATCTACAAAGAGATTCAAAATAAGTCTTAAAATTCACGTGGAAGCACAGAACATCCTTGATAATCTAAACAATCTTTGCGAATAAAAACAGGACCGAAGGTATCATTCTCCTTTTTATATTTTTGAATTTTTTTCCTTTCTGTGCTCGTAATTTAATCGCAATATTTCTCTCTTCTCTCT